TTCTGCGCAAAAACACTTGACTGTTGGTCATCTCCCTCATTTGCAGCCTTTAGTGCTGCCAAATGCTGAAAAGATAGATCTGCATCTTTTGGCCTCAACACATTCCGCCGACATACAGTAATTAACGAGGATTGCAAATTGAACACTCTTAGACTCTTAGTATGTTATTCTTTTGAAAGGTTCGGCCTTGATTGGCTGACAGAGCTTGTGCTGGAGCCCGTGTCTGAGCCTGCTTCTTCAGACTCACTTTGATCAGGTTCCCACCGGCCAAGCGCGCACGGCTTTGGAGCTTTTGGTGGGGTCCGGCTCCGAGATGGGCAAACGCGCCACTTAACCATTGGCAAACCAAAGCTTTGGACAAAGTAGAAGTCGAACAACAGTGTAGATTGTTTGAGTCCACTTCAAGATCGTTTGAGTTGGCTGATTCTATATAATTGGAATTGCACTTCAACATGCTGATAAGTCAGCTTTCTTGTTCACTATTGTTATTTTGAACAAAGGTGCTGCGGGAAAAACACATGTATTTTTTAAGGGTAAGACTCGGGTAAGACTTCCTCTTGATACATGCAAGCGGAGCGGGGCACGCCTGAAGTGGAGTGCTTGAACTTGTCGTAATGACCTGATAGCAAGTCCAAAAACTCTTCTGGTACTCGCAGGAGACTCAAGATCACCTTTCTCTTTGGACCATCGACTTTATACTTGCGCTGCACCAGCTTGTTGAACTCTGCAATGCACATGTTCAAAGCTGTTGGTGTTGGATGTGTCTTCCCGGTAGAGACTCTCAATTGCGCCATCGCCTTTTTGAATTGGCCCATCAATTCCAAGGCCGACGGCGCCTGTTTCTCTGAGGTCTCATGACCCACACCTCAGCGGAAATTCCAAGTGCACACACATGGCATGACATATAGAACTCGTTCATATACTCGACTGCTCACCCGGTTCACATGCTCACGCACTCTCTCATTGCATGCAAACAAACAGTCTAGTATGAAATAATCATTTGAGCCCTCGACGTAATGCATCATAGATGTACTTTGTTGGATCTGTTTGGTGCCGATACAAAGCCTTGAAGAATCTCAAAGACAGCAAAAGTGGTAACAACTCGGCTGAGTTGAGGTCGTCCTCTGGCCACTCCTTGCGCTGCAAAGATGAAACCAAACAGTGATCAGAACGGAGACAGGTAGAAAGTAGGCAAAAACAACAAACATATTACTCTAAGACTATTTGCTACTCAAGATTCAAGCAGGTCAATCAGCCCAACAATGCCCTGACATATCAAGCCTTTGGCAAATCCATCAATATATTGGATGGTGAAGTTGTCGACACGACGATCCGCACAATCTTGGAACTTCACTTGTAAGGGTTCGCAAAAAGGGTCGAAGTTGTTGAAGATGATAGACCGCATGTGCGTCTTCAACGTTGACATGTGTGGGAAGTCTAAGTTGGATTGCAAAAGAACAAACATGGAAAGGATAGTTCCATAGTGTTCAAAGAAGTGTATATTAGACCATAAAAGAAAACACAAATCAATGATGGTAGGCCACATCCACTCTTTGCGTCTTTGCTGTAGTCAAGTTGATGAAGACCAACAAATAGCTCAGGTGCATCAGAGTTGGGGATGAGGGTCACCAAATCGGGACAACTTTGGGCTCCATCGCGTCCCCACACAATTCGCTCGATGGCGCGAAGGAACGTGTTTGGTTCTGAGTACTTCTCTTGCAGCCAATCTCCAAGGTTCTTGTCCTCGGTGACCTGAGTGAAGCGGAAGTGAAGGTAAAATGAAGCTGGAGGTGTTCAATACAAACCCCAGGTCCTAAGGACTGAACCTTGAGAAAGGCTTCCCAAATCAACTCCCGGGCATTGGGTTGTGATGCTGAACCAACATCTTCTTTCATAAGTTTCTCATCTTTGATGTCCTCTTCCTTTTTGGTATCCATGGCCCAGGTCAGTGACGCCTCTTCAGCGCCACTACAGGCCACGCAAGGCTTGGAACCGACTGCGTTGAAGCCACGAAGACAATTGAGAGAGAGAGAGAAAGTGAAAAACACATGAGAGACTACATCAAGTCTTGAAGCTCTGAAAGATAACACTTGGCAGGACCACGTAGAAGGATTGCAGGCTCAAGCTGCCTCACACAGTTTTCCCAACTAAACCTTTTTGTTGTCAGGTGAGAGGGCAGAGTGCACTGAGCATGAGGCTGAAAGCGTTGGGCCGATCTAATTCAGCGAAGCTCCTGGAACCCCATGCAAATCACCAGCTGCAAAAACTTAAAGCAACAGTCCTTCTCCACTGCTGCGCAAAAGCGGTTCAGCACCCCAATGTCACAGGCCTGTGCATGATTGAACCCCAGGAACCTCAAGGCTGCTTGAAGGTTCACCTCTAATTTCACTTGCCTTGAAGGCGATCAACCAAGCAGCGGCCATGCTTCTCAAGTGCATTGCATTGCCAGCAAGATCATTGATATCCTGCAGGGGCTGCAACAAACGAAAACTGACAACCTTTTTTTGTTGGAGTGGATGGAGATCCTGCTCGCTCAATTTGTTGAACTGGAGCCGATGAACGGGGAACCCTTGCAGCATCATTTTCTCAAAACCTGCAATGCAGTGAAAAAGGATTTTGTCTCACATAGTAGACAGTCACAGTGCAGTGACTAATGCTGCAGCGGAGGAAAAAAGTTGCCCACCAGTCAGTGGGCGGCGTGAATGCCGAAGCCAGTAGCGGCCTTTTGGCCTGATGAAACTCTCAAAGACTAGTTGTCAGCAGTGTTAACTGCTGAGGGCCGTACGTAACGACTGGGAACGGGTCATCAAAGCTGAGAAGTGTAGGCATTCGGCCAAGAGTTTGGCTGATGTCCAAGCATACCCACTTGGACTTGGTTTGGGTCATGATAGCCATTGCCTGCACATGAATGAGCACTTCCAAATTGTATGATTTGTGGTGTTTCAAGCCTGTGTGCAACGTTCAGTAAGTCCGCACGTTCGGGGCCCACCATAGGCAATCAGATTCCTGTGCACCTTCTGCATGTTCACCTGACCACAAATTGTAAGTGCACATGTCACGACTCTTGACAGTCAGTCATGGCACCTTATGGTGTTTCATGAACTGCCAATGAGTAGTGCGCCACTTCGGTTGTTTCTTGGAGGGCCTTGTGAGCGAGAGTTTGACTGGGCACACTTTGATTTACAAGTCAAACCTGCTGCAAACATTGTATGACTTCAAGTTCATGCCCTCCAACTTTTTCTCCTTGGCCTGCAGCAAATCACACACAAGCATATACTTTAATTTTCCAGTACAGTATTCTCAACATGGGTACGACGAACCTCCAACCGTTGCTTGATGAGTTTGATATCCTTGCTCGCATCGTCCAGCATGAAGGTCGACCTCGCAGGCTTGCATGGTTAAGTAAAACCAATGAAAGGTCAAGAGATTGAGGACCTGACCATGGTATGTGTTTTCTTTGGCTCTTCTTCAACAAATCCAATGTCGTTTTGGCGGATTGGTCCAAATCTGTGGTTGCCAATGCATCCCGGCGAATCATTACAAAGTAGATCCGCTGTCTTGAAATGTTGACGCCCAGGTCCATCCTCAGACACTGAACCCTTGCCCGGCCGTGAATGCAACAATCAATTAAATGTCACCGTGTAAATCAGACATGCGTCGGGTCTATCACTGGTAACGTGAGTTCATAATCGCCACATTTTCCCAGCTCCTCCTTCACCTCATCGATGACTGGCAAGATTCCTGGTACATTCTCCAGGAGGACAACCTGAGAGTTGGAAAGCGCAGAAATGTGTACAGTTTAAACAGGTACAAGGTGTCTAGCGAATAAAGGACACTGAATCCCTGTAAGCAGAAGAGGCACCAAAGGTTGAATGTCGCGAATGGTGTCCCGAACTTTGTAAAACTGGCGTGCTTCAATATCGTTGAGCCAATCTGTGTGAACTCTCAGAGGGGAAAAGGCTTTGCACGGGAAGCCGGCTGTGTAGAGCACCACCTGTCAGTGAGCAATGGGATCAATGAGATCAATTGAGTTGAGATTAGACACGAACTCTGGTTTTGACTGGCCACCAAGCCTTGTTGCGCAAATGGCTGGCATCCCGTGTGAAGAGGTCATCTTGCACCCTCAGCCAAGACATTAGAAAGCAAGTTGGCTGGCCAAACAAACGCATTTGAGGACATAGCGGGACATGTGGCCAGTTCTCCCGAATGAACGTCTGCGGGCCTTTTCCTTTGTCACAGGCAGACCTCAAACACTTTCGCAGAACTATACCACTCTGTGACTCTGTCTCTGAAATACTATGAATTTGTATGCCGCAAGGGCGCAAATGTTTGACTTGATCAAGAATGCCTGCCCCTTCAGCAACATCTCCAAACTCAAGAGCGGGGCTTCTGCTCCAGAGCCTTGGTGATATGAAAAATCTGAAAGGAAGCAAACCAGTGTCAAAAAAGGTAGGAAATGGGCAGTCGGTCATGATCGTGAGCGGTGCCCTGAGTGGCCCGAGTAGCTCCTCCAAGCCTCATTGTGGAAAGAAAATTGGGGTGCAAATATACTGAAACCTGCTGGGGCGCTAACGTGCTGCTGAAGCAAAAGAGGTGCCAAACTCCAATGCAGCTATTTGCTGCTTGGAGAGCTGCACATGTCTACACATCCTCAAAAATGGATTGAATAAAACACAACCTTACAGTGAAGGGTTGAATAAGGTCCAAACTCGATGTCGCTGTCACTGGATGAAGTCTCTGAGAGGGACTCACAGTGACTTGAGGGGCTCTGTGGCCAATGCAGTAGCACGGGCATTTGAGAAACGGCTGCAGAATGGACACCCGGTTCCCAAATAGAAAACATCCAGTTCCCAGTGGAATTGCTTAATTAATATAATGTATTATATTATGATTGTCATACTGCGACACAACCTCTCATCCCTTTGCCTTGTGGAACCACCTCTATTTCGCAGGTCACCGCTCCAGCCTCCCATTTTGCTGGGCCAAGGCGGCCAAGGCGCAGACCAGCCGCCCGAGATCATCTCAACCTGTCATCCCCGAGTTGGAGAAATCCGGAATGAAAGAAGGTCATTAACAGTCACATCTGAGAATTTGGGGAACAACTGTTTTTCAGCCCGGGGAGGCCAACAAAAAAATTCCGCACCTTTTGAGGTGTTTCAGCAAGAAGAAAGCTGATCCACTGACTGGCGGATGGGTTTGGAGCAACCTGGTGGATGGGACACAGTGCACCCGGAACTTTTCAGGCGTCTCGCTTCCATTCACTTCCTTCATCCATTCTCCAGATCTCTAACTTGGCACGTGGCGCCCGAGACTCGCTTTCGGACGACACGGGTCTCCTGCAGAGTGGGGCCATGGTCTCCCAAGTGCAGTGCCAGTGCCAGCTGCAGTGGATCGGCCGCTGGGCCACAGGCCCACTCGAAGGCCAAGGGCGCCAAGGAGTCTCCATGTTCGGACCTGGAGGACGGGGGGGTTCACATGGCATTGGCATGACTTGCCTCAAAAGTCCGCTCAAGTCCAACTAGCCACTGATTGGGGAACTCCCTGTAGCTCTTTGCTTTCCCGAAACAGGGAAGAACTGGATACCTCCGGCTTCAGTTCTCACCTGCCTCCCCCCCGGATCAGGTCGACCGGAGGTCAAGGACCTCCGACCTCGAGAAAACCATCCGTTGGGACCGACAGGGTTTGACTGTGACCGATCCGCCCTGACCTCCTGAGGGTGGCAGCAAAGAGCAGCGCACTCGCCGCGCCACTCGCGGCAGTCGCAGCGAGGGACTCCGCGCGGCACGGACTGGCCAGCGACAGAAGCGACTGGCTCGAGGTGAGGAGGCTCCGCAGTGCCTGGGCGGAGCAAGACAATGTAGAAAAGTGAGAAAAGGACATCCAGATTCCAATAATGGGCAATCCATGGCAATCCTGTGGAACATGTTGCGCCTAATAAGCCCATAACATCCAATAACTATCATCTTGATTTGAGCACCTGTAGGGCTGCAGGACAGCTTACCTATGGATGCATTCACATGCTTGGTCAGATCAACTGGGAGGAGAGTCGGTCACATGAGCCCAACCTGTGACTTGAAAGATCATATCCTCCTCGGCTAAAAATCTGCGTTTACCTTTTACCCATCTGCTGCCCGGCTCCTCTGCCGGGCAGAATCAAAGGGACTGCCTGCGACCACTAAGAGTGATACTAGTGTCACTCGGGCCGGGCCCGTGGCCCAGAAGAATAGGAAAAAAATGCGGAAACAAATAATGTTTGACAATTTGAGCATGGACAAAAGGGCGCCAAAAATGGTTTACCTCACCGAGGGGCACCACGGGATGAGACTTGCCACATCTCCTCTTCCGTGGGGACCCAGCCAGCCGCCTGGCCAGCCTTCCTGAGTTTGCGCAGGTGGAAAAAGAAACAAAGAACGGACGTCGGATAATACCGTGATCTTTTTCTCCACCCTTCCGGAGGCTTTGGTGGAGGAATCCGCCAGCATCCCCCCATCTATTGTCTATTGTATATTCATATGGGTGTAGAAATCGAACCTCTAGGAACCCTACAGGTCCAGTCCAGTCAAGCCTGGTCCTTATGACCAAGTCCAAATTCGGTTGATCGGTGTTGGGAATGGACCGGGAGGCCCACCGAAGAGGGACCTCCGCACGTTCGCGCCGCCTGCCAGAGTCGGGTTCGCCTGCCACGGTCAAGGACGGCCATCCGCCCGAAAAATCGCTCAACCATCTGACAAGGCCTAGCAGCATTCCGAGACAATAACCATGAATCATGGACACCTATAGATACTTTATTAATGTATCCATGGACCTCCGAGATCCTCCCATTCATTTCATACAACCTTCGACCTCTTCTTCATGAATCCATGCAGCTTTGGAGGACCCGCCCTGCGGCCACGTCGCTGCCGCCAGCGGAGCACCTTCAGCGTCGCGAAGTGTCGAAGGGCTTCGTCCAGGTCCTCGAGCAGCGAAGCGTCGCCGTGCAGCGGGAAGTGAAACTGCACCGGCAGCCTGGCAGGGCTCACTGGATGAGTCCTGCAGCTTTGAGTTTGATTCCCCAAAATTCTGCCCAAGAAAGAAGATTAAAAAACCACGCCGAAAAGGAAACGCAGAGCCGGGGTCATCTCCAGGTTCCATCCGTCAGAAGCTTGGCTCGCAACTTCCTCCAGCTTCCTTGGGCTCGCTTTGTTCCGAAAGTTCTCAAGTTCTACCAAGAGAGGTTAAGTGACCTTATAGGACCTTACTGGGGTACCTATGGGATAGGCGACCTAGGGTCCTTCAACCTCTGTTGGTAGCTGGTAACGCGACTCGAATCCCGCAAACTCTTACTTTGAGCCGCATGGATGCAGCTTGGAAAGCATGGCCCGTTCACGGGCAACCAACCTTTCACGACTCGCTCACCCCTCCGTTGTAACTAACCTCATGAACCCTACACACTAGCCCAGCACCACCGTGGGGCAGCTTTCTTGCCATACAGACAGCTGGGACCCCTAGGACCCCCCGCCCACCCCCGCTGTCCCCAGGCGCTGTCCCTCACCGCACAAGACCCCGGCGGTCTGCGCGCCTCGCCAGCGCTTCCCTCAAGCGGGCCATCTTCGCCCGTCGCTCGGCCAACGGCTCCAGCGCCCTCCGCAGTGCTGGCGCGACGCGGCCCAAACAAGCGAGACTCCCTGGGCGACGCGGGTCGCGGTGGGAGGTACTCCAGCTGTGAGCAGCTCTCCCTTCACAGCTGCTTGGTTTGCTTAAAGAAATCTCCTGGAAAGTGGATGTTTTTTGTGTTATGTCTGGTAGTGGGAGTCGGAGGAATCATGCACGGGCGGGTGCCGATTTCTGTCCACCACACAACAAAGCATGGCGCATGGCATCCCATGGCTTTTAAGACATTCCAATTTGGGATCTTCCCATGCCTAGGGTCGGGGGCTCAAGCTTGAAGAGGCTGCGAAGCACAGCGCCTCAATCGATGCCCACTCCGCCATGGCGCCGCTGAGTTCGGCGCGCTTGAGCGCCGAACACGGGGCATCGGCACGGCTGCGGCTGAATACACTCAACTGATGGGGGGGTATTCTTTGGGAAGCTTCCAAAAGCGCCGAAAGGGCGAAGACTCCAGAAATTCTCTGTCTCCAACACGTCCTGTGACAGCAAGGGTGAACATACGAGTACCTTGAATGGGGTGGAGGGCCTCGGCCCTTGGGAAGGCTCTTGCAGCATAGGGTGAGAAAGCTTTGGAATGCAGAAGGCTTGGGACCACCTCGTACTGCAAGGCCCACCACGAAGGGTTCAGTACATCGAAACTGCTTGGGAAAGACAACCACTTTCACCACTTTAGCCACTGCGGTCCCGGTGTTTCCACACGGTGTCCGGGCTGCATGTGCCCACCTATGCCCACCCATGCCCCACCTCTCTCTCAGCATGTTCTTGTCACGTTGAGGTGTCCTGGATCGGTTGGAACCGTCCCAAAACGACGCTTCTCCACTGCCAGCCACCCACTTAGGCCCTGGCGGCCTGCGCGAGAATTGGAGGTCCACAGGGCGATCAGTCAGAACCTACCCAAAGAACTGACCGAAGACGTGGTGGAAATGGCTTCTATCCACTTGGGCCGTGTGGAGGCTTATTTAAGAACGCTTGCTACAATGCAATCTCACAGGTTTACATGTCCATCACTCAAAGTTGGATGAAGCGTGTGCCACCCAGTTCGACCCCGTGGAGGCATAGGCAATTAATGGCCTATGGATGCCTATGGTGTTTTTCCCATCACAGGTGTAGCCGGCTGGCCTGCCAGGATCAGTTCAGTTTCCAGCCCGCTGTCAAGCAGAAGAGTTGTGAACCAAGAAACCAGACAGACAGGAAAAAGTGGATCTTCAGCTTGTATCGTCAGCTATGAGCTCAAGATCCACTTGTTCAGCAAGACCCCTCCAACCATCAACTGCCACTTTGGCGCATCAAATCACCCAACCTGATTCCAAACCAATTGGAGCCTTCAAAAGCTTACTGAACTTTGAACCAACCCCACCCGACTGGAAAAGAAAACAAATGCATGCAATTGCGTGCATGTCGTGGTGTAAAGAACCTGCTCGGGCGAAGCATCGGGCGGGATTCAACGGTGTGTTGTGTGTGTGTGTGTGTATTAAGTTATGTTTGGCTATGTTTGGTGTTGTCAGAATGTGTGTGTTTGTGTGTGTGTGTTTGTTTGTTTGTTTGTTCGTCCGTCCGTCCGTCCGTTCGTTCGTTCGTTTGTTTGTTTGTCCGTTCGTTCGTTCGTTTGTTTGCTGCCCGGGCATGACCGCCTGAAGGATCCGGCCCAGTGGGAGCCGGTTAAGCCGGCTGGCTGGACGTGTTGTGTTTGTGACTGGGCAGGCGTTGACGCAGCCTGCAAAGGTCATGCGCTTTGGGACGGGGCTTGCTGCCCACTCACTACTCATCACTATTTAAAATCTTAGCCCCAATCCTGTAAAGTGGGAGAAGCATTCACCAAGGCGTTTCTATCCCTTTCTACTGTGTCATGCGCTGGACCTTGGCACTTTATGTCGCCGCGTCCTTTTTCTTCTCAGCCGCAAGTGAAAGTCACACGGGTTCCCCCAAAAAAGGTCCTTAGAACGTCTGGGCAAGGCATCTGAAGGCTGAGCCCTGGGAGGCCAACTCCTCAAGAAGCAGGGACGGTGTAGTAGGGACCGTACCTGATCATTCCACCATTTGCGTCAGGTGCAGTAGGATCGCAACAAACTTAAGGTCACGGTTCTATTGAACATCCAGGGTATAATTGCCAAAAGAAACCCGAAATTCTTGAGCACAGTCTGACAACGTTCTTGCTGCTTGCGTGGGCGCTCACTACTTGGCTAACTGCACTCCACTAAATAGTAACGGTCGTCAGCAGAATGCTCGTCTCTACTGAGGTGGTTGGTCCATGTTGGTCCTACTTTTGTGGAAGTCCGGGGGGGTATATTATACTGGACCAGAATATGTATATGTAGGTTTTGTTGGGCCTAGGCACTGGGTGCCTTTGACCAGTATATAGGTATACATATTCTAGTGCCTAGTGGCCCTCAAAAGTCGCAATGCCAGGCTGTCAAACGGTCTGCCTTTGATGCTGCTCGTGCGCATACTTGGACCGCATTGCGGCCCCACATCGGGGGCAGCCTTCCTGCTTACAAGCAGCAAGCACGGATTGACACCACTCAATGCCCAAATTCAGGATTCGAAAACCCAGGTTTCAGCTCATGTGCCGGAGCCTGGGCCCATTTCCTCAATGATGCAAATTCCCTTGTATATTTTGTCTACTCCGGGAAAAGCAACATAGACCAGAACTCAATTTCAAGTGCACTTTAACATGGACCACTGGAAACGGTGACTTACTGGGGAAACGGTATTAGCGCCTTTTTTGGCAATTTCTGGACACTCACTAACATGGACCGTTCCCACTCTCAGTCTATGATCGATTCTGACACTAACATGGACCAACTGCAATCTTACTATAAACTGAACGCAGGCTAACATAGGCCGGGCCGGTAGAGGTCAACATAGCCCGGTGGAGGCTAACATGGACCATGCCACACACCTCTAGGGCCTACCTGGTGCATCATTGGTTTTTCAACGTGTTCTTTTTTTTGATTGTTTTTGATTTTTTTTTCACAGATTGCTTGAAACAGACTCCAAACATCAATGGAAGAAAGGAACTGAAGGAATATGACCAGCCAAGTAACTAAGAATACTCGTACGGCCCACCATGGCACATCGGAATTTGGTCTATATAGGTTAGTCTCAACGGTGTCCGCTCCGAAACTAGACTAACATATGCCCAAAAAGAAAGATGCGAAAATGTTAGTTTTCATTTCACCTGTGTATCTCTTCTTTTTTATGGGCCCATGAGTTCTGACAATTTGGCTTCCTGGGACCTTCGGTAGTGGCGCTGGTGCTTCTTTGGAACGCACACCCGCCCTGGTGCAAGAGCGACATCACCTCCTTGAGAGGCAGCCGCAGAATCAAAACGACGGGCTTAGGTTACCTCCGGAGCAACATGGCCATGCTGGGGCCGATTTCGGCCTCGGAGGAGTGGTCAGCAAACGAGTACGTCAAGTCAGACTGGCTCAACGGGGTTGAGTGGTCACTGAATCCTTCCCCAGACCTGAAGGCAAAGGAATTACCACCTCTGCCGGCCTAAGATTGCTCGCCTAAGCCGCTGGTCAGATCGTCAAGAAGTGTGGGCTGCCACTGGAGCATGCTTTCTGCGCATGTCACTGAACCCTGCGCCACCGAACCCACACTCCCAAAGCAAAGCCAGATTGCCTTGATCGATCCCAAAGATTCCAAATCCGAATTGTGGAGTCCACCGGAGCAAACTGAGTCACAAAGCCGCTGATCTGCCGGGCCCAGAATTCCAGGTTCCTCTATGGTCCCGTAACCATTCTGAAGGTCTTGTTGGATACTTGGATAGGAAGATCAGCATTCTTGTTCTTGTGAACATGTTGCCAAGGAATGAATGCAGTATTTCAAGGGGGAATGGCAAGCGCATCCTCCGACATCTGTTCAAGCCCGCAACCCAAAAGACCAGCCCCAGCAACCTGCTCCCTGTATGGCGACCACTTGCCCCAACCAGCTTTTAGAGGTGGAAACAACAAGAAGTCTGTGCAAGCAGGGCACCCACACCACACACCGCCAGTTGTCTTCAACCATGCACCATTTAAGTGATGCGCCACTTCAGCGGGGCCAGGAGGCGACTTCCAAGATCTTTAGGGGTTCAGTGCCCAGGTGGCCACTCCCTCAAGGGATTTCTCAGGCTGTTGCCCATGTACTGCGATCTAGGTCCATCTTCAGAGCCAGACATGTCGAGGGGGAAACATGAGCGGACACACCTTCTTCAAATTCTCGGTTCAAACCGCTCTTCTTGAAACTCTTCGGCCAATCTCCTGGGTCTGACTCTCAGTGAGGTCAAACAAATCTACCCCCCTGTGCCCCCCCAGTGGATGAGAAAAGCCTGCTCAGTAAATGCAGCTGGCTGTAACTCGGGAACTGTAACAACCAGGGCCATTTTTACGACTTCGTGATGCTCTTTTTACGACTCGTGGCCTCTGTCTTTACTTCGCCCCGCACTCTGGCGCCGCTCAAGTGTCCGGAGAACTACTGGGCTCAGGTTGCACACGGTCGGGCCTCTCCAGAAACTTCTTCTTCAAGTTGGCTGATTTCCTTGAAGAAACGCAGGTGCATGAAGGCAAGGAAGGCAAGGAAAAGAAAAAGGAAAAAAGAAAGGAAGGAAGGAAGGAAGGAAGGAAGGAGGGGAGGGACGGAGGAACGGAGGGACGGAGGAACGGAGGGACGGAGGAA